CCGACACTTACAGAGTGTCTCTCCAACCGCGAATATCGCGATAGACATGGAGTCCAACGAAAGTACCGAATCTTTTTCTCTCATCGCTTTTAATTCTCATCATTAAATATCTTACGAAACGAATTTTCAATTTAAATCGAAAAAAAACTGTTATTATTTTTACTTCCTAACGCATTTCAACATATATACATTTCATACAGTGATAGAAATTATTTTTATATAAAATTATATCAAAAAGTTAGATTATATTTTCGTTGATTTAAAGTTCAGTCAAAACTAATTGAAAAAATAAGATTTTGATATTTTTTTCATCCTTGAGACTTGTGTCAAAAGATATGATAAAGAAAAAGGATAAAAAAATGTACTCGCGCGTACATATTTGTTGAGACTATCTCGCCAATCGAACGCAACGGAGTATTCGAGAGCCAAGAGACAGCCGATATTTATCGAGGACTAAACTTCCTCGAAAAACGAGGAATAAGCCCTCGTAACGTCGCCCTTATGCCGCGCAACATCCGATACCCTTCCGTTGGCCTCTCGTTATTTGCTTGTACGTGGACAATGTAATATAACACCTGTGATACAGCAGGAGTAAATGAAGCGGTCTGTTGGTGACCAACGCGTGTGCGTCCTGGTGTACTCGCAGTCCATCCACGAAGATCGATCTCCTTTGAATAAAACATCCTCTCGACCAATTTTCTCTTATCGAGACGCGTTAGAAATACTTCACTCCGAAAGCGTAAATCTATGTCTAGCATATAATTATGCTATAAGTTCTATCTTTTTTTTTTTTTTTTTTTTTTTTTTTTTCTCTCTCTCTCTCTCTCTCTCTTTCTATCTATTTATTTATCTCTTTCGTGCCATATAATAATCGAGATAATATTTTTATATACTACGACATGTTTAAATGTACTACATAGAAAGAAAGAAAGCAGAAAAAAGGGACAGAACCTTTGAACGCGGACGTTGGTGATAATAATGGACATGGTAATAAACGCGGAATATACATACCATCATCGGTTTCCATTGTAAATCTTTGATGGGCTTTTCTCTTTGAAAGCGAGGTCATCTAACCGCGACACACTACCCACCAGTAATGTAAAAAGAAAAAAAAAAGAGTTACCAGTTGAGGGGACTGTCATACTTTCACGATATGTTTGTGCAATTTTATGTATTTACATATCCTATAAACTTAGCATTCTCGAATTGCCGATTCAAATTGAATTTCTTTTACGAGGAGGATTCTCTTCCCATCGGATCTGCCACGATTTATTAAACATTCTGGGGTACTAAAAGATTATTTTATCCGTAATAAAATTTTTATCTCAGAATATCTTAGAGAAAAAGAGAGTTTTTAATGGATTAACATTATAAAAACATTATATATATATATATATATATGTGTAAAATCTTTACTCTCTCCGCGAGAATCAAATGAAAGATATAGGATAGTGCGAGTGGAAGGCTGCCTGAACGGAAAGTGTGCGTTAATCATTTTGCGCCGGAGAGTGTTAAGATAGAGCAGTAAACCCAATTATCAGCATTTTAATAGCCAAAACTAAACACGGAGCTCTCTCCAATTTCAGCAAAATTACGAGTCTTCGTTTTCGTCGATGTCGATGCATCGCGTCGCGTCTCTTTTTCTCTTTCTTTTCGTATCTCTCTAGATCGTCGTCGATTTCCGTCGAAAATCCGCCGGTAGAAAATTCTTGACATTACATGGTATAAAGCGTCGAGCTCACTCGTGCGAGACGCTCGATACTACGCTGACTTTTTTTTTTGGAACGGATATTAATACAAGACATTTATTACATCGAGATAAAATTTTATGCTTTTTTATATATATTTATTTAAAGTTAATTGATTGTTTTCTCGAAAACAAATTTTTCATGTTATCGGAATGTTCTGTAGATCGTGCGATTAAATTCATGTTGATTGAAAATAGAAACGAGGAAAGTATTTTTATACGGCATCATCATTTATCACGCTCGACACATTTTCCCGATCGTATTAGCTTCAGACTCGACGCTGTGACGAATAAAAAGTTGCGGAAGCAGAAGTCGTAACGGAGCATGTGCGAGACATAGATGTAGCGTACATTGTACGTATATAACGACGAGCATAAACCAGTAATAAAACGCAAACTCCGTACATGGTGCACAAAAGTATAACTCTCTAAGAGCAGCGCGAGTTGTGCGAATAACGCGCCATCGATAATACCTTTCCCGCATATCTCAGCATACGCGAATGATCATTTGTCAGACGCGAATTATTCTGCCGGATGCAGAAAATAGGAGCAAAATTAGTAGCATCGTATTATCAATTATACATTTATTTATACACTGTACATTTATGCTCTGAGTGATTTATCATCGAGAAGATTCCTAAGGAAATGTCGTTTATCGCACAGGAAATTTGAAATTTTAGTCAGATGCGAATAGAGCGTGTATGCTCAGAGTATGATATACGTTGCATCACGCATGCTATTCTCCGGTGTCGTCCACTCGTCACATACGTTTTTTTTTTTTTTTTTTTTTTTTTTTTTTTTTTGCCTCGGCAACGTGCACGCGAGACACAAAAACTTCTGTGATTTTTGAGGGAACAAAGCGCGCGTTCCAGTGGCGCGTTGTTTCGCGAACGAGAACCGTTCGATTCACAGGGAAACGTCGATGTCGCGAATAGGAGCTTTGAAGGGAGTTAATAGCGAATCGTTTAGTCGTTTAGTCTGGGATAAAATTTAAATCCGTGGGGGAAGAAACAAAATTGCCCGTCGAAAAAATGACGTTCACATAGACATTTCATACAATAAATTGGTCCTCACGGTAAAGAACAATGTTTAATTACATAACTGCTTGGATCTGATGTTACGTTTTTAAAATCTGCGCCAAAAAAATTGTCTTCCACCAATAAAAATAATAAAAATTTATAATAAAATAAAATCTATATAAATGTCTGTAAAAATTATTACATATTCGCTGTATAGACTGCATTGAGAACTTAATCGCGCGTGTATACACCGGAAGTACCCCCGGGTTCTCCTCATGTGTCTGCATGGCACGAGGCTCGTCGCGGAAGTGCAGCTCATGAAATGCAAATTTGTCCCGCGTGTTTTACGAAGAGCGTTACGTCGATGAAAGGAGAATATAATTGTTTCTTGATATTTTTAATACGTATCACGATATATTATGTATATATAAAATTAAGAAAGAAATTATATTACACAACATATGTGTACAAGTCAAATAATAGGACACACAATTTCAGATCGAATAGGAAATACAGATTCTAATGAATAATTAATTTTTGTCACATTTTGATGTACAAGTTATCGATTGCAAGGACATCCGATGATTCTGCGATAAGCGATAGAAAGTACCAGCTCAACTGAGCGGTGAAATCAGGAATGTCGGTCGATCTTTCCTCTTCCGCGCCGATGATGCCGTCCGAAAGCTGATGCAGCATGGTGTCGTGTCTACGGCTATGGCATTACGTGAAATAACGCAATATTCGATGACTGCGAAGATGCATGCGAGCATGCAGTTTCTGCACACGCGAGACTTTCTCCAACCTCGCAGCGTGTATCGTAAAGTTGCTTATTTCGCCCGCGCATTTTTCTTCGCTATCGCGTCCGCAGTCTTCGATGTCACGACGTAATCTTTGCTCCTCTCCTTGTCGATTTTACATATTGTGGACATTTCAGGCGGCTGATAATAACGGGAACCTTCGAGGATAAGAAGGCAGGAATAAATTATTGGATTTATGTCCGATGCATAGAGTATGGAATGTTAGTATGGAATAGTTACGTATTAGACTTAATAAAAGCAAGAATGATGAAGGATAAATAAATTTCACGCCTATATCGAGCGCCGCAAACAACATTTATATTTGTCTATGTCGTTAAGTTACGATGTTAACAATGGTCATGAGAATAATAATGCGACGAGGAGAGAAAAAAATTTGAAAGAAAAAAAGACATGCAAAAGATGATAAAGAATAGAAATGCCGAGATGCGCGGTAACGTCCATTCCAAGAAAGCTGTTTTCGCCCTCCTCCTTCTTTTTACCTGTGTGTGTAAATCATCACGTCACCACGAGAGCATGAGACTGAAATCCGGGAACCTTGACGAGGAAAAAAATAAATAATAATAAGCGGCCTTCTCTCTCTCTCGCTCTCTCTCTCTCTCTCTCGTGGCGGACGATCGTATAAAAGAAGTTAATTCTACTCTCTCTTTCTTTTTTTCCGTCTCTTTTTTCCCGAGTACATTCTCAATGATGAACTCAATATTACTTATAAGATCATTAAAACTGATAACCGCTTATTTAATAGACGCTGTAAAATCACGAAAGGGGAAAACTGACGACTACATCGTATTATATTAGTGAATAATATTACGGTGTCATATTACTGTCCGATATCACAATTATCCTGATTGGCGGTAGGTCGGTTTCTCTTTGTGAGAGACTCCCGACGGATGTCGTTAGTCGGGCGATAAATGAAAGATCCGCCGTATCTTTTCGCGGCCGCAAAAAGGTTTGGCGAATACCGATCGTCAGACATCGAACGGTAAATCGTACTTGGAAACTTGCGGAGGGACATCGCGTTGCATCGGCTGTTACATACTTTGTAACGAGTCTCCCTCGCATTTCTTTTCGACGCGCAGATAAAGCGTAACATGAGTGATTCTTTGTTTTACACTCAATCATCCATTGCATCGTTGCATTCGCAACATCTTTCATTATTTTTTTGCTCGTTATAAAAAATTAATGTATACTCATCCTTCCCTTAGATCAAATGCACAATACTTATGTCAGAAGCGTATGAGTATCGAAACGAATTTTTTTTTTACTTATTTAGCATCATTTCCAGCCGTCGCGTACTAATACTGCTAGTGATGTACAACGTGTTTAATTCGTATAGATTTTATCGCAATACAATTTTCTTTAATTAAATTAAATTTACATTAAATATTTTAAATAAATAAAATAATTTTTTATTTTCAGCTAGACAAAAAATGTTCAAACGCTTGTCAAAGTCGAGGCGTCATAGCGCCGATGACGTTGCTCTCTCTTTATCGGGTTCCACGGTTCCGCTGGACCAGTTGTCGGGGACTTCGATGCCGCGTGACAACAATCAGGATCTAAACACTACGAGTTTACTGAAAATCTCCAGGTCCAAGTATACGCGGAGGAGCTGCGGCGATGCGGACGCGATGCAGACGTTGCTCGAAGTGAAACAAGACAGTCAACAGGATGTCATCGAAGCTGACTATCAGACGGTTACGGCGGTGCCGGCCTTTATCGTCGAGCATGATCCGGGTAAGCAGCGAGGTAAGTCGTCTCGATAATGATGTTTATCTGCGTGTCTCGGCGGTGAAATCAATTTGATGCCTTATCTCACTTCATTAATTATGTCTCTCATTCCTTTCGATTTCTCTCAAATAATTATCACTTTTTTTTACTTTAATCAGATCGAAAGTTAGCGGAGATTAGATTCAACGAATTAATTTAAGCTTTTTTCCAAGAGAAAATGAGATTAATATTTACCCATATATAATCTTCGGTTATCTATCTATCCGCAGTAAAAAAATATAATTTTTTTACGTGTTATATTTTAAAATGTATATAAAATTACATTTTCTGATTTCGATGAACGCTTAGCGTGTATATTGCATGCGAAAGCGTTCACAAACCCAAAACGATTGTAAATTACTGCTTTGAACAATACGGTACACTGACATCATCGTGTGTAGCGGATCTGAGTATAATACTTTTGAAACTGGACTCCATGCTCCGGTGACTTCAATGTCCTCTTGCTCGAAGGAGGATGCAACGATGCACAAAAAGTACCGTCGCGTCGCCTTGCTGCCGACATCGCCGATCTCGCTTCTGTTCCGAACGGCCGCGAATTACCGCTAATCCAGGAAAACATCGCATCCTTTCACTAATCACTCGCTCGGCGCACTTGCCTCGTTAGAGCTTCGTGCTCCGACATACTTGCGAACGCCGATTTGCGTTCACCATTTGCCTTAGTAATACCATCGCGAAGAAAACGCTCTTCTCTTCCTGTTTATATATTTCAATAAAAAGTTTATTCGAAACCTCAACTCCTCTCCAAAATACAAAGGATTGAATGAAGAAAATCATCGAAATTATCAAATATCTAAATTTTGCGACAGATAATGTCAAAATGTATTATTAATTCAGGTTGTTCTACCTCAATTTATTTTTCAAAAGAAATTGAGATTAAATTTTGCTTTTATACATTTGTTAAAATATATGAGTAGATTTCGTAAAAAAATGTTCTCTATTATAATATTAATTAAATTAATACAAAACTCATTATTTATAATCTTATGCATATCTTTGCTTAGGATGTGTTGTATTTATTGTTTGTCACAATAATCTATAAATTAATAATATTATTGAAAAATGCTATTGTGTAAAAAATGATATATATATATATATATACGGTGTAAGTTATATATATGTATATATATCGCCTTTTGCCGACGCATTGTACCGTTTGATCGCAAAACACGTGTGTCCGATACTCGAGAGCAGCCTTTTAATCGTTTCTCGTTATGTAGAACCGATGTGTCGACGATGTGGGCCCGTTAGCCGGGGTGACACCTCGAAAAAGTAGTCCCAAACTACGCGGAACCGCTGTTACGCGAGCTCGTATATGGCGACCACGAATCCCGAGAACGATCGTATGTCGAACGCGGATGGTTTTTCGTTCCACGCGCGTGTGTGATGGCATGCTACCATTTCAGATAATTTTATTTTTGCTAATTGACAAATAAATATCGTGCTATACAATTGTAGTATGTATATTACATTATTAAATATGCTAATAACGGTGATTATTTTATTATATTTCAAATAATTTCAAATAATATTTTATTATATTTTTATTATTGCAATAATAAATTAAATTATCAAGATATTATTACAGCATGGAGTTAGTAATTGAAATATCTCTGTTGTTTAAAGATATACAAAAATCTTAAGGACCAAACTGCAGACTATTGTATTTTATTATATTTTAACTAATAAATATCTCTCAATATATTATTTAATCATAAATATATAAATATAATAGATTATTAATGATTATGTCAATATTTTATTTCATAGTGTCGGGTCTAGGAATTTGGGGTCGCAGGATGGGCAGAAAGATCGATTCGTTTCGGCGGACCAGATCCCGCGAGACTATTTGTTCCATTACGGAAAAATCTGCCAGTACCGACCACAACAGTGTCAACAATAATAATAGCAATAACATCAACAACAACAATGCTTGTACCAGCAACAATAATATTAATGTTCATCAATTGAGTCAGATGCACTTGGACGAAAAGATGAACAGAAAGTCACCATTAGTTTGTAACCGATCTCCGTCTCCGTTCAAATCATTTTTCATTCGGATGGGTTCCACCGGAATGCTCAACTCGACCAAAGCCAATAGGAGATCTCAGAATATCGAGGAGAGAGCGAATCTACCGGACAAGGAAAGTTTATTTCGGAGCTGCAGTACCAGTCAATTGAACAGCAGTCCGACCTACGTGAAGGGCGACGATCCCTCGGAGGGTATAGATTTGCAGATAGCCGCGCGGAAGGATAAGACGGTGTCCTGCGATGATTTGGCGGTTCATCGGAACGATAAGCAAAGTGTCTTCGAAGCTTCTTGCGCCTCCGCGTATTCGCTGGGCGGTCCCTCGGTGAGCTTCAGCACTTGCGACCTCGGACAAACTAAGGACGAGTCGTTCATGAGAAAGAGTAGCAGTTGCGACCTGAAGGAAGCGAAAAAATCTAGCTTCCCGTACGCTTTCTTGCGATCGAAGCTGTCTGTGTTGCCAGAGGAGCGTCACGGTTCGTCGTTCACCAAGGACGAGAGACTCTTCAAGACGGTCTCGGAGGAGCACTTTCCGACTCTGCAGATCGAAGACTCGTACATCGGTACGACGACCCTTGGACGGAAGAGATCCAGGATCGGATACGTCGGTCGAGGCGACAACGGGAAGAATCGGGAGATCACTTCGCGACCGAGTCGGACTTCTTGCGCGGAATTCCAAAGGAATTCCAGCAGATACGAAGCCGACAGATACAGCCTGAACGCGAGCCGCCTCGAAAGAATCGAGGCCGGTTTTCAGCAAGAGGGTATTGCGACCTGCTACAGTCTTTTCGACAGCAGTTTACTGTCCCTCCGGGAGAATGTCGAGTTTCACGTCGAGGACACCGCACGCGACAAGGCGGACTTTACCGGTAAAATAGTACTCGGGATTGCCTCGGAGAATTGTAACGTGGACCTCGATGTGATGTCCGCTATTAGGAACAACCGGCGAAATTCCGTGTCGAGCTGCGAACAGAGGCTATCGTCTCACTACGTCAGTTCAAACGAATCCGGATACGATAGCGATGGACCGCGAGGTGAGCCCGTGATAGCTTCCGAGAACGAGAGACTGAGCTTCAAGTGCAGCTCCGACACCAGCAGCGTCATGGACTCGGAATTGGAAAAACCGATAAGGAGCTCGACGCCCAGCGAGGGGGATCAGGATCAGGATGAAAAACAGGCTGGGAAAAATAGGCGGAATTGCGACGAGAACAGATCGGATGCGATCTCTCGGATGAGTATCGAGAGGCTCGACGGTCTCAGGTGGCATCGGAGTGGCTCCGGAAGATTGTTGCCTAGCATTCACGGGACGTCCTTCGAAGAGGAGGCCGTGTTGCGATTGGAAGACGCTCAGCTTCCTAATTGCGAGGATAGATTGAGTCTTTTGTCGAACACGGCGAAAGCGCTGGACGTCTCGCCTCATCGTATGAGGTTACAGCAGGATAAAACGAGGTTTCTGAGCGATATTATTCAACCGTTGACGCGGGTACGACGATGTTGTCTGATACAGTTGCACAAGAGGGATCCTAAGGAGAGTCTAGGGATTCGATTGGCGCAGCAGAGACTAGGTGATCTGCGATACATCGTCGTACAACTTGAAAGCGACGGTATTGCTCATAGGTATGTGTGAGAAATTTATGAAAAATATATTCCTCTATCTCTGAGTTCTACATATTTTAAATTATTCTAATCCTATAACTCTATATATATATATATGTGTTAATATCTTTTATTTTTAATCATTCTGTTTTACACACTTTATATAAATTATGAATTATAAATTATATATAATTTTTTCTTATAACTTTGTAACTTTAAAAAATCTCTATTTTTATCAAATAAAAAGAGTATCGCGGCACCGAAAATTTAATGAAATTTGTAATACCAGCTGAGACTTAGTTATTATTATAAATAATATAATAACTAATAATAAATAAATATTATCTATTATAAATATTAGCTATTTATTATAAATAATAAATCTTATCCAAGATAAATCATTGTTTCGATTGCAGGGATGGCAGATTGAGATTAGGCGACGAGATCGTCGAGGTCGAAGGCAAGGAGCTGCGAACGTTGGAAAGCCTCGAGGAAGTTCAGGAGTTCCTGAGATCCTCTACCGGAAACACGATACGACTAACGACGGCTTACGAGGAAACGGTGCCGCAAGTATACGAGAATCCGTCGCCGAGTACTTTACCCGGCGAATATGAGTACCTGGAAAACGCGAAGAATCTCTCCGACATGTCGTTGATCGATCCCGAAACGAATTACGCTTCCTCGTCAGTAACGGAGACGACGAAGAAAAAGAAGAAGAAGACAACCGACACCGGTGCGGAGTCATTTCAGCCGAGGAAAAGACCCGATTTCCTGCCGCTTTCCGCGCGCTTATCCGAAAATCAAAAAGACATCAAGGACAGTGGCCCGGAACCCGTGACGGAATCGCAACAATATTTAATGAAGCACATGGCTAAGTTCGAAAAGGGTTACGGCAAACCCAGTCTAGGCTTCAGCGTCGTAGGTGGGAGGGATAGCCCGCGCGGCGACATGGGAATTTTCGTGAGAAGGGTCTTTCCTGGCGGTCAGGCCGATACTTCCAAATCGTTATTTCAAGGTAAATCTTCGAATCTATTCCATGCTACTTATATTCTTTTCCAGTTAATATAATGTATACACTCTTATTTTTTTGCTGCTCTGTATTATAATCTTGAGTAAAAATGTTAGACGAATGTCCATGAAATTTTGTAATTCAAGGAATGCAGAGTCTGGCGCGCATTTATTGAATACTTTTCATTCGGAAGCTATCGGTCGCGGAATAAGGGAATGCGCGTGACGACGCGCGCGTCGAACTCACGTTCGACGGTTCTCGTTGTATTCACGACGATGCGAGGATCGCGCCAGACAGCTGTCGAATCTTTAATCCGACAGCCAACGCCGCATGCATATCTAAACAGTCGTGGCATATTCTACCGTTTTTCTTCCCGTCTTTTTTTCCTCTTTTGCCTCTCTCCCTTTTATCGAAAGACGATATTTGGCAGCGCTGGTGCTGTTTCCTGATATCTTTATCGTATTATACGAACACTTTGTTACAGCCTTCTAAACTGTTGTTACAAGTCATAATGATGATCAAATCATGATCATAATATCGATAAAAGACAGGAAACTATTAATTGTTTTCGATCAATTCGCGGATGGTCAGATATTATCTGTGGATCAGTCCCGATAACTGGGGAAATCGCTGGATGCGTTCCCATGTCTCGAATTTCAACCGAGCCCGGCGCTTTTTACGCCTGCACCGCGGTTTCCTCGTTGACCGCCGCTCCTTACCGCATACTTGAGTAACGGGTTGCTAGCCGATCGGCTTGCGTAAGCGCAGGAGTGCAAACGGCATCCTCCTGCAACATCCACGTCACGAGGTCATTGACAGTCTCGAGGATCGCTTTTTAGTCATTCAGATTATTCGTTGTACTATCAGGTTTTCTCGGAAAGTCTCACACAAACATTCCTCATCAATTTCTTATTATTTATTATTAAATCTCAACAATGATTTTATACTAAACATATTTCTTTGATTTTCAGGCGATGAAATCTTAACTTTAAATGGGCAAATTTTGAAAGGACGCACACATCAGGAAGTCATCGAATTATTTAAGATGGTGAGAGAGGGTACCGTTGAACTAGAGATTACGAGAAGACACAGGTAAAGGCAATAATTTATATATCTATAAGAACGTGCGAGAAAAGATCGTATCATGTAATGAAAACGTAAAAAGGACAATTAACGAAAAACAATAATGATCTTTGTAGATATCCTAGGAATACACTAAAAAGTGCGCCGTATTAAAAAGGATCGATGAAAAAGAAGCTGCCCACCGGAAGTGCTCTTTAGATTTAGATTTAAAATCTATTACATTGTTCATAGGAGAAAACGACGTTTTAGGATTCTAGTCTATCAAAAGAAATTTATGACTTACGACGTATATTTTCTCTCTTTCATATAATTTATTCCGCGCGACTGCCTAATAGATTAATAAGTTTTAACATTATTATTATTATTATTATTATTATTATATAATACTGTGTGGTATTGTTATAACTATATATTATTATACCACATTCTTAAAATAAGATTTTATACAAATAATGTTACAACGCAATACGCAGAATTCATTATACGCATCTTTTTAATCATAGAGGACAATAAAGAGAGAATATACTTGGATGGTACCATCGAAAAGGTACCGTATCCAGATAATTCTTAATTAAATAATTGTTTTATTTCTAGCGAATTCCGCAAATATACAATATATACATGATTTGTATTTTACATTTTATTTTTAAAGTTGCCTGTTTCTTTCAATGGTAGTCCATCGAGCTAACGATGAAACATCGTACCATTAGTCTCCTATGTGTCTATCAGCAAAAGATCTGCACACGACTTGGCTTTCGGAGTTCTAAAGCATAAAGTAGAAAATGGTAGAAGCGATATGTAAACAGATCTCTTTCAGCTTTGATTTCCTTCTATATAAACGTCATTTTATGTAATAAATATCAATATAGATTAATTATTTGCTTGAAAATTAAATATAGCATTTTTAAAATCAATCAATATATAATTTAAATCAATTAAATTATTAAATATAGTAATACATATTTAGTTATTTAGTTTATTAAATATTAAAATAAATAATGGAAAACTTACTGCGATTCACGATTTTTCACGCGTCTACACAGGTGCAAAGCAATCGGCCCATTTTTAATATTGCGAAAGAGTTGTACGGCTTCGCGATGTGTCAAATCATGACAGACCTGGCCATTCACAGCCAAAATTTCGTCTCCTGCGCGCAAACGGCCATCTTCGGCAGCCTGACCACCAGGTAGTACTGACTTTATGAAGATACCTGTACAGTTGAAGAATATAGATCACAAGGAAAAAAATATAGAAATGTTTTCATACAGATGATACAATGTACATGCGTACAATGCGCTTTTACGCGGTTTTATGGCACAAATCGTAATTTTCGCGACAAATAATTCACGTGTGCGCGACTAGACTAATTGTAAGATATTCGCGTTTACTACGTTGCACGCACACGATATAAGATAGTTCATGTTTAAGAAATTGAGAAAATATATAGAACGAAAATATATACCGATGCTTCCTTTCGGACTGTCTCTTCCACCAACTATAGTGAATCCCAGGGACTTTTTCCCGGTCCCTTTCTCGAAAAGCACTGTGAGAAACGTAGACACGGTATTTCTCGGCCTTCTTGGGAGAGTGCAAAACTTGGATATACTTTGCGCGAAGGTGCTATCCATGTTCGTCGCAAATTTGTCAGACGAGATTGATCTATTCGACTCGTCCTTCCTGTCTCGATGACATCTAGTCTGATGCTTTCTAAAGTGCGAGCTGGGCGAGCTTTCGACGATCACTCCGTGACCATCCTCCATGCTGACGTTTTCATAATCCACGCTGCTTTCTTTCAGCCTTTTCGCCAGCTGATCGACGCCCGAGTATCTCGAGACGACAATATCGACATCACCGGGGCCACTACCGTTACCCAGGATTTTTCTCGCCTCCGCCATACTCAGACCGCGCAGTCTCTTTCCGTTGACGATCAGAATTTCATCGCCGATCCTCAGAGTGCCCTCCTTATCGGCCAGTCCGTTCGGCACTACATGAGCTACCAAATAACCCGGACTGGATTCGGAGGTTTTCGCGATGAAAATGCCTAAACATTGATCAGACGTTTCCTTGACGAGCTTCACAATCATCGTTTCCGTGGTGTAGGGTCTGCTCCTTACAACTTGCAACCCGGAATTGCGCTTTTTCCGTTTAGAATTCTCATCCGCGTTCCTCTCCTCTCTCTCTCGATCCGTACTATTCTCTGCGGAGATTCGAGCCGCTTGATCTATTAACGTATCATTCGCGGCTTGGCAAACGTTAGAATATTCCTCGATAAAACTCGTCCCGGAGATATCCTTAGTCCTGTCGTACGTATCCAAACTGGCGAATAGCCGCGCGGTCCTGTCGACATCCACGGCGGTCGAGAAGGGTCTTCTGGGCGGAAGTCTAGGCGGTGATCCTAGACAAGAGTCATTATGACTGCTATTATTCAGCGGCCCGGAAGCACCGCTGCTGCATCTGTCGTCCAGGAGGGAACTGGTGGCGGAATCGTTGTCTAGAATTCCAGAGTCATTGTCATCCTGATCCTGATCCTCGTAAAGCGGATTCGTTCGCAGCTCTTCGAGACCTGGTAATGTACCGTAAGAAAAGCTGCGTAGCCTCCGTCTTTCTTTGTCCTTGCAATCCTTCTTATAAATCTTGGCAATCAATTTGTTTGTCGAGCTCTTCAAATATTTATCTTGCATTGCGCGGAATTTCGCCGCCAGGCAGCTGGACGGCGTAATGCTGTCGAACGCCGTTATCGTCGTGTCTTTCTTAAAGATGGTCTCATTGGCGTGTCTAGGTATCTCCTCCTTAGTATCGACCACCATCATACGATCAACGGCTCGATCGGCGCTACGGTTCGCATCGAGGAAATCCTGACCGGTTCTCCCCCATCGGTAATCGTGTGGCATTGCATCTTCCCGGATCGAATCTGTCTCTCTCGACCACTCGGATTGCTTCCGGGGCGTCGAGGTACGAAAGCCCAGAAAGGAGAACCGCTCCTCCTGATGTTTCTTGTACGATAACCTGCTCTGCGACTTGGCGCGTCTCTTCCTTTTCGCGTGGCTTTTCTCCTCCTCCGTGATATCCTTCAAATCGGACTCGCAGACCGATCGTCGCAACTCGTTCCTCAACAGATCGCGATGCCTCAACTCACACATGGAACGAAACTGAACTCGTCCCGCTTCCTCGTCGTCCTCGCCATCGTTCTCCTCTTCATCGGAATCGCGGTCCTTGAAAAAGCTCAATCTGGTACTCCTCACGCGATCCAATAGAGGATTTCGCTTCTCGCACACTCTCCGCCGTTCTTCCTGTATTCTCTTCTTGCCCTTTTTATTGGAAGTCCGTTCGGTTGTCACTTGGGAGGTTTGCACATTGTAACAGTTCCTCTCGGATTCGGAACTCGAGGATTTTCTTCGAGCCCATCGCACCGGTGACATGTCTACGACATAAGATAAGGCAAGAGAAGGTATCAATAAATATTCGGGCGATATAAAGTAAATTATAGTTAAAAAATATTTCTATCTTGTTATTTATTGTTTTGAAATAATCGATTTAATTAATCACACTTTATCTCACTATATTATCTTTCCAAAAATTTATATTTTATAACTAGTATATATTTTTCAATTTAGTTTTTATATTCTATAAAATGGAACATCGTACGAGATTTTGAATAGATAATGCAATATAGTAGATCGCAAATTCTCATTTCTGTAGATCTGTCTAAAAGTGAAATCCGAACTGTACGACTTTTGAATCGAAAGTGATCTCCGCTTTCAGTGCCACTCGTGACGATACCAACAAATCTGCGGGTTCCGTAAAGTATGACGTCATATTAGTTTTAATGAGGTCTTACACAGGATATACGTAAAACAGGATGTTCCCACATACACATGGGCAATTTACTTGACTTAGAATATTATTCCGATAATCATAAAGACGTTACTACAGTGACATGGCATCCTTTAGATAATAGACACAACAAATAATATAATATTATTTTTACATATATTTAAATTGCGATGCAAAAGATTTCGTCATATTTATCAAGTAAAGTTGAAAATCAAATTATACAATTGTGAAGATATAATTTTTATTAATCAAAATAGTTATCAATATATTTTCTTTCCGACTACAAAAAAAAGTTTTACAATATTAAAAAAATTGGATCCTAAGTGTTTTATTATATATAAAATGCAATATTTAATAAAATAAACAACATACACACTAAATTAACGATTATATTGGTGATACAAAAATGCTGATCGCAGCCTTTTGCATTATGAGGAAATCGAAATCGACGCTGTTTTAAAAAAAAATGCAAGATTCGTAATACTAACAATAAACGATGGGAGGTATGTAAAAACACGGGCTTTGCATGTCATTGCAAAATGCGTCGAAATCAACACTGATACCAATTTATCCCCTAGTATTACGAGTTGTAACTTTACGGAACGAGGCCTCGACAGCAATCGAGATAATGCAGCCAGTAATGCCGCTATCGCGACTAGATGTGCCATCTTCAATCTTCAAGATGAGTATGCGGGATTTACTCATTTTTAATTAGTTTGTCATCGCGCGCATTATAATGCAAATCACTCTTGTTTATTCTTAATAAATAAGAATAAACACTCTTCGCAATAAATATAAATTGATTCGCCTTTTTATTGGCAATTTCAGAAACTGAAGAATGCAAAGCAGTTGGTAAATGTGTGTGTGTGTGTGTGTGTGTGTGTGTGTGTGAGAGTGAGTGAATGAGTAAATCTGTATTTCATGCGTATATTATATCGTCTGGAATGCGTAAACCGGATACAATCAAAAATAGATCGGACGCTTGAGTAATGCTTCGTCGTCCTTTAAATCATGTCTGACGTCGAAATTGCGGTCATATTATTTCATAAAAATTCTTAGAAACAAATCAATGCGAAATGTTTCACAGTTCTGTGGTTAAATGTGAAATGAATGTATGCTCTATCTCTCGATTACTAACTGTATGTATCTCGACAATTAGCAGTTACTATGTATAATTAGAAAAGCAAGCCGATTCATATTGTAGATTGTCACTGCCGTCGCCGTCAATAGCATTACGATCTTATGGGAAACGCTTATACAATCACGCATAAAGATACAAATTGCGTCCTCGACAATGATCCTTTATATTAACGTGCATTCGCTCGCGTAGGCTGGCGGTGTCAATTTGCTCCTATTCTCGCTTTTCAACCAGTCACTCGGGACTCGACGGAACGTTGAATCGTAATCCTTGCATTCAGAATGGAATCTCGCATCCCTCTTTCTCTCTCTCTCTCTCTTTTTCTCAAATACTGCTATGCACGCTATACCCGTAATGAAGGACACGCAATGCATGTGCGCGACATGCAAGATGATACGATTTTCTTAAAAATTAGTCTGATTCTTGGACGAGAACAAAAACAAAAGA